ACCTCAATTCATTTTAAATAGCTACATGTATGTTACTAACTCCCAAGATTAATTTACAGTAATGTACCTTTTCTATATCTGAAAAATTACGAACCCCCCAGATTTCGCTTCCATAGTTCAGTTAAAAACCAAAATCATTATCCAAGTGTGGTTTATCTCTGAACTGTGCCTTCCGTGTTACAACCGGTGGTCCACGTGAACTTATGCCTTGAATATCTTGTCTGTCTTGTTGTATCTTTCCAAGTCCTTTGTTCCTGTCCATTTCTCTGTCAACATCACTGTTGGTCTGTAGTTGAAGGCTGAGGTGTTGTGGGATATCACCGCCACCAGATGGCAGCAGGAGCTCCTGTAACCTGTCTCCTACTTGCTGCTGTAGAATGAGGATCTCAGCTGGAGTACCACGGGACAGGATGCTGCCTACTAGATCTGAGGTGCTCTTCATGGTTGACGTGGTGACCTCACAACTCTCCAAGTACAAGGTGATGTTCTTCCTATGAGCCTCGCTGACTTCCTGAACTTCTTGGAGAAGCTTCTTCTCCTGCTGCTGAATTTCTTGCTGAAGATGGCGACTGTGGTCTGAGATGTCCTTCATCACAGAGCTGGTATTGGTATCGTGGTCCCTGAGCACACCCTGAAGGATGGTTAAATCGTTTTCTTGTACGCTGATCTTGTCGTCTAACTTCTCCAGCATGGACGCCAGTTTGGGCTTCACTGTTTCTATGGCAGTATCCAGGGATGTGCACTTGTGCTCATCATGAATGAGGACCTTGCAGTCACGGCAAATGGGTATCTGGCACTTGAGACAAAAATACCTGATGGGTTCTTCTTTGTGTTCAGGACAGAAGACACGCTGGAATTCCTGGAGCTCTTGTTGGTGTTCTCCACTATGTAGCTGCTCGAATGTATAGACCTTGTGGTTGATTAACATTTTGAAACGGGTATGATACTTGGCACAAGGATTACACAGGTACTCACTGCAGTTGAGACATTTGGACATTGCCTCAACATCTTCGCCCTCTACGGCACAGGCACCACATTTCTTCTTCCTGGTTGGTGTGAGCACAGTGTCCTGGAGGCTGTCTATGAAGTAGTTATGGAGGAAGCCTTCAAGTCCATCTTCCGGGAGTTTTGTTTCTTTTTGGCACAAGGGACACAGGAACGTGCTTCCTGGAATTGAAAATAATTTGCATTTTAAACTTTAAAGATAATCTTAAGAAGCCTATAAGTGTTTATTCATTTTAATGCTTGGTACTTTATATGTCGCAATTTCTGTGAAATATTATTCTTTACGTTTGTTAAGTTTAATAAAAATATTAAATTATTATCACTGTATGTTTGATTTCAAACTTTTTCACAAAAAAGACTTTTATTTGCTCAATATAAATATGAATTTAACTGACTGCAATTTTTAATAAAAATATGATAATGCATCAGTCAGGCTGATTACATTTCAAGGTAGAGGTAGCATTTACATTCATACATTTAATAATTAGTCCTCTTTAAGGGACATTAACTTTCGAAGATGGGGGAAAACAAACAGATAAAAGTTAAAATTACAGTTGAAATTTGAACTATGATTTTTAGCTTATGCACATACATAAGGTCCGATGTCAATGTTAGCCAAATGTACAATTGCCATCCAACAATTATTTATTATTTGTGAAACACTGTGATAAACTTCACAATGTTGGTATTTTATATAAATGTACAAAAGTGCCCAAAGTTAATTTTCCTCATTCTTACATGTGACATGTCGCACTTGGTGTATGATCAGGGATGAAGCTGATCACTCATGTAATAACGGATAGGGACAGTGCATGTACTTAACAAAAATGCATCTACTTCCTGGTTAAATTTGGGTGACAACGCGCCTATACCTGGTGTATTATCAGGGATGTAGCTGGCCAGACATCGCTTACAGTAGGTGTGGAGACAGGGGAGAACTGTTGGATCTTCAAAATCTTTGAGGCAGATGGAGCAGTTGGTGAAATTTTCTCGAATCTTAGCCCTCAAACTTTCGTCTTCATCTCCAATTAGAGCGGTCGCCATTTTGAAATAAGCAATGCGTCATGTATATCATTGATTAGGGGATTCCCCTTTTTCTGTTCGCCCTAGCTAGTTTCTAAACACCTTCGAGAAATCTAAAAATAACGTCTGGTTATCCTAAAAGCAATATTATATCGGTTAGGGAAATTCTTTGTGAATTTCATGATGCACAAATATGGTCTCCTTTATGGAAGTAAAAATGAAAAATAACGATTGAAATGCTACCAAAACGAAATCTGCCTACCCTATGCGTCAATTTCTGTACCAACCCGTGACATATTTCAATACTGAACCCAGTTTTCCCCGGGAAAATGCATTAGAATAATTCCACTGCAGCAGTAGGCCTATTTGTTCAGTTTTGAGAATTACAACATCTAACCACAAATTGTAAATGGTTTTGAAAGGTGGTCCAATATTAATTGAAAATATTGCAGTACTTAGTATAAGGGATATTTCATTTGTTTTTTTTTTAGATCCCTCGATGCATCTTATGCTATCTAATTTTAAAAAGTGACCTGTACACTGTACTTACGTTCTGTACTTACATGAATTTCGGGGTTTTCTTTTTATCACTTATTTGATAATTGAGTTTATCATAAACCCGCTTGTTTTGTGAGGATGAACATAACTAACTCACAGTGATCTTTAAGTTATCATTAAACACTGTACAACAGTCACACGAATATATTCAAATTGAAATAACGGGTGTGTTATAACTGGGCCTAAAACTTTTTTCACAGGGGTATATCCTTTACCACTAACAATGTTCTCGATCTAATTGTAAATAAAATGATGGAGACCCGGGTGACTCTTATATGATGATCAGGTGCCAAAAAGGAAAATTTTCAGACAGTAATAATCAAGTGACTGCATCTTATGGACATTGCTAAATGTGCAGGGACAGTCGTAAATCCAAGCACGGAGATGACTTTAATGTAGAAAGCGAGAAAAAGACGTTCAAACCTTATCATATATCGGGACTAAGGTATATATACGTATGCATCAGATGCTCAGATGATTCTATAAAACGTGTAACTTTCCATAGTGACAAAACACAAGGCTAAGACTACTTACGAGCACCCAGCGTACCCAATATATATTTGCCGCCCAACTGAACAGCAAAAGTGGAATAATAGTGCATATATCCCATTTTTTATCTCCACTGATGAAAAACAAGTCCTGTTTGACATGATCTCAATTTCGCATTAAAATGAAGGAATGCTTGAAAAAGTAGCAATAATAGTGTAATATTCTGGGTTTCACTTCGATTATGGTAAACGATGATCAGAGCACTTTGTCTGATATATTGTTCTACAGGAGCGCAACATCTGCCCCGATCCCGAACAAACATCAGGTCGCCCCTCCCGGGCTCGGTCGCGCCGGATAGGGCGCACGTTTTAATAGTATTTCACCGTAACATTTTTGTCATTGGTGTGGTACAACAATAGTGTACTTATGAAATGTCACAATAATAATAACAACATAAGCATTTTAATAACAATGATAATGATAAAAATATTGGTTAAAAATTTAATATGAGACTTAGAGTTCTTACATCTCTGTTTTTCCTGTGCTATGCTATCAAAAATTCCCCATGATTTCTATTATCTGTTAAATTTTGAGTTCCTAATAATTGTATTAATCTAAAAATCAAGGGTTTCTGCCAGTTATAATTTTTAATATATATTTTCCTTAATGTGTGAGTCTTCTATCAAATAATATGCATGTTCTATTTTCTATTGATACGTTGTGGTATCTCGCTTTTTAATCACAAGTTTATTGTCTGGTATTCTAAACTTGCATATGATTCGTCTTGCTTTGAAAGAGATTTTTTCGAAGGTGACATTTCAGGACAAAAATGCCCGTCAAGTGTCTGTATAATAGATATTTAGATGGATGTTGTATTTTTATACGAATTTCTTGAATTAACTTATCCATTAAAAGTGTTTCAAAGTCTTTAAAAAAATCTGCTACATCCAGTATGTTTTGATGCTCCCGCTTATCTGACAGTCCAAGACATGTTAATTCTTTTACCTTTGTGGCCCAATTATCAAACTCATTTCATAAAATAGTAAACTGTCATAGGTCCCCCTTAAATAAAGTTTTGCGTGCTTAAAACCTAATCCAATACTTCACAATGCTAATCATCCTATAGTAATTTAATAGAAATCATCCTAATTCATTCTAAACAGCAGACGATGCAGCTGTGTTACTTACTCCCAAGATTAATTTACAGTGTTGAAGATCTACCTTTTTATATGTGAAAACTTACGAAACCCCCAGATTTTGCTTCCATAGTTCTGGATCAGAAACACATACGTATCAAATAGAAAAAAATTCTACATTTACATTTTATTTTTGTGAGATGATGAATTAAGTCTTTGATTGCATGGAATTACTGATGTCGGTTATTGTCGAAACCGTGATAATAATAATAACAAATGGTGTTTATTTGTTTTTGTGCCTTTTTTATTTGCATTCTTTATACAATTTTTTGTATTTTACAGATTTGTTCAATGCCCTTTATTTGTGAAATTAGAAAAAAAGACAAAATTCCGAAGTCGCTATGCGCATAAAGCTTGAAATTATGAGAGATCAGAAATAACAGATATACGATATTATGTTATTTGCAAAGAGGATTATCTAGAACAAAACAGCAAGTGTCATTCCGGTTTAATTCCTTTCTAAATTTACTACGGCATGCACTGGATATAAGATCAAATATGTTTTTATCATTTGCTAATTTACAGAAAAATTATTACTACCATGTTAATAGAAATATTAGTCATGATAGCACTCAACAACCATAACAAAATTCAGTTAAAAGTAGGCCAATCATAATATTAATCATAGGTAATCAAGCACGTTGGTGTCATTTCAGAAACGGTCTATGTTCACCAGAATAAAACATTCCATTTCGATCTCTACAGGACAAGTTTATTCATTTTCATCTACTATGAATCCATGTATCTAAACACCTTGATCTTCCCTCCGTACTGAGACACTGCTAAATCACCATCATGGTTGATAGTTAAACCAAGAGGAATCTGCAGCCCGTCATCTTTAGTTGCTAAGAATTTTACAAACTCACCATCATTTGATATGATGTGAATTTTGTTAGTGTAACAGTCAGCAATCATAATGTTATCATACTGGTCAACACAGACAACGTTTGGTTCACACCGTTGATGCTGTCCAGAGCCAGTGTAAGTGTGGAGCAGTGACCCAGTGGGACTCAGGATGAAGACTGCTTTAGCTTTGTAATCAGAAACAACAATGTTCCCATTGTTAAGAACAGTCACACACCAAGGCCACTGAAAGCTACTGTGCTTTATGGTATCCACTGTGGCACCGTGAATGTTGACAATGCTGACTTGTTTAAGATTAGGCTGGGCAACCAGGATAGTATTGGAGTTGGTAACATACAAACCATCAGGACCTTCCATAGCCACTTCTTTGGTGAGATTTAAGTCCCGTGACATGAAGGTAAGTTTGTTGTTGCCATATTCAGAGACCACTGTGGTACCATCAGGAAGTGATGCTATACCTAAAGGTTCGCACAGTGACCTGTTACCAGCCTTGGATTTTTCCACAAGGAGTTGTCCATCTGAGCTGAATCTACACACTTTGTTGTTATCATAATCCACCACCAGGTATCCGAGCTGCGGCTTGGAACAGGTGGTCAGACTGACCGGATAGATACAGTTTAAATCAAATTCAGTAACCAAGTGTGGTTTATCTCTGAACTGTGCCTTCCGTGTTACAACCGGTGGTCCACGTGAACTTATGCCTTGAATATCTTTTCTGTTTTGTTGTATCTTCCCAAGTCCTGTCCCCTTGTTCACTTCTCTGTCAACATCATTGTTGGTCTGTAGATGAAGGCTGAGGTGCTGTGGGATATCACCGCCACCAGATGGCAGCAGTAGCTCTTGTAACCTGTGTCCTACTTGCGCAGTGTTCTGGAGGCTGTCTATGAAGTAGTTATGGTTGAATCCTTCAACTCCATCTTCCGGGAGTTTTGTCTCTTTCTGGCACAAGGGACACAAGAACTTGCTTCCTGGAATTGAGAATAATTTACACTCTACTGTTTACTGATACTCTTTAGAAGCCTAAGTGTTTTTTTTTGTACCTAAAATGTACCAATTTTTTCAACTTTTAGCCTTGATGTTAGTTATTTTAATTAACATGTTTAATAATTAACACTGTATATTTGATTTTATACATTTTCTCATAATCGTTTGTTTGGTCAATATAAATGAATTCAACTGTCATGTTTGATATGATTATGCACTAAAAGTCGGTTTGATTACATCTTAACATAGGGGCAACACTTATATTTATATACTTTATAATTGGTCCTCTTTAAGAGACATTAACAATTCCCGAAAATGCAGGAAAACAAACATTAAAGATAAGAATTACTGATAAAAACAAGAGAAGGCGTTTTTAGAGTAACAAAACCGGGTTCAAAGTAATCCCATAAACTAAGCTACCTGTGCAACGTCATTATTTTTCAAATATAATGCCAGATGGCTCACAATTTGACAAAAAAAAAAGGCATTTGACGCCAGGGGCAAGTTGGCCCCTATACGAAAATGAAGTAAGTATCCCATGTAAACGCCTTGAAATACATTTTTATACATTTTTAATTTATTAAATTGATTTTTGAGAGTCTCTGCAGAAATAGTTCAAATGAGGTTTCCGTACGTCGCGTTGTAGGGGGGGGCCTTGTGTTGCAAGAAACAAAATATCTATCAATACAATTTGTTTTGTTTTAATTAAGAATAAATTAATAATGACATAAAGCAGTTTTTTAATGAATGGAAATGAATAATAAATTTCCGTTTTAAAAGAAAGTACCAAATTTAGTTTTATACCATTGAGTTTGTTTCAACAATGGTCTCTAGCTGTGTTCCGCGCAAAGGTTTGTGGGTAATATGATGGTCCAACTTGCCCCGAGTCAAGGGGGCCAACTAGCCCCGGGTGCACATTTTTTTTTTACTTTAAAGGACGGCAGCCATTTATAGTGCTAGAATAAGCAACGATGATACATCTCTGTGAAACTCGAAACGGTGACCTTCAGTTTGATGCCCTATACATATATTTTATTCGATGAAATGCCTATGATAACTTTTAGGATCAAAAATCGTTTATTTCGACTCACCGCTTAAGTAAAACTTTAACTTCCGACACTTCCTTAGCATTGTAGGCTACGGTCTCTTTACAAGAGTATGTGGCCAATTTTTCTTTTTTACCTCGTAGTTACTTTATCATAAAGGGGGGGGGGGGGGCAACTTACCCCGGGGTCCAACTAGCCCCGGTCTCCCCTATTTTATATTAATGTACAAAAGTGCCACAAAATAATGTATTTTTATTCTAATATGTCACATGTCTCACTTTGTCTACGCCTATTACAGTTTATCAGGGATGTAGTCGGTCACTAATGTAACAAAGAATAGGGGCAGTGCATATTCTGGGGGAAGTACCGATTAAATTTAGTCCCAAAATATTACACGTCCCTATATAATCCCGTTACCGATATATACATAAAGGAAAAACTGAAAAAAAACGTCTTTTTAGATTTAAATGCATGTACCGATAGATCCTATTTTTTACCACCGTCCTACATGCATATATTTGCGTTCCTATAGATACGACGTCTACGTAAGCCCACGTACTTATAAATCCGCATACCTATAGATCCACGTATTTTTAGATCCAAATACCAATAGATCCATTGCTTGGTATACTACTCAGTACATGAAATGCACTTTTTAAAAACGACATTACACATATTAATCCCTTCAGCAATTTATTATTTTACTAGATCGTTTTTACGCAATTCTCGGGTAATTTACATTACTAATGCATTATCTGATATTTATGATTTCACTAGATGTTTTGTTATTTTTTATGTTACATTCATTTAGAGATGATTACGAAGGGTTTTGACAGGAACCTAAGATTATATTTTCTTTTCATAGCGATCAATCCCAGAAACACACACACACACACACACACACACACACACACCACCCCCGTCAATTAAGAACTCTGCAAAAGTTGATGAAATAATGTTAAAGATGCATACAAAGTCAATTTTTTGTCACAAAAACCAACGAAATGCTAGCATATAGTTTCAAGTAGTATAACTAAGAGAGTTACCAAAAGGCATTGTTTAATTTTACCTGAAAATGATGTTTGAAGGGATTTTTCTCCTAGCAATCTATGTTGTATGTCAATGCGGCAGAAAAGTAGGTCACGAAAGTAGGTTAAATTTCCGACAAAAATTTAAAGAAAGGAGCAGTCTAAAGCTCTTTAATGGCTGATCGAGTGATCTATTCAGTTTATCCCTTGGCATGTCAAATTAATTTGAGTCATATAAGAAACTAGTAGAAATGGTTTACATGTGTTACTGGGAATCCACATTCCACCGATGCTCGGTTCGTATGTACCTTTAAGAGTTTTACAAGTAAACCCTTCTCATCTTGTTTCATTATATACTGTGAATGATTTATGTGGGCATTTGCATGAATGATTCTGCTTGATAACTGTTTTGTATACTTGATAGAAATCATTATATTCTAATTCGCTTACGCTTAAACGTATAAAATTATTCATCGTCTAATAACTCTCAACGAATAAAACCACTTCATCTTCAAAAAACAAATAATTTAATTATAAATAGGAATGAGTCCATGTGCCTCTGCCTGTGTACAGACGATACAATATTACATACAAACGTTTGCTCCGTCACCAGTTACATTTATCGCATAGCCTTATTCCAATTCCGGTACAGTTCGTACTTATATGAATCTTATAATTTTATAACGCATAATCAAACCCCATCTTTATACAAATGTTTTCATACAAAAACCTTTATTTGGAATAAACTGGAATGTCTGTACAGTAGCGTAGCTCGACTTCGAATGATCGTTTCCCTTCCTCACGTGACCTGTTCACCTTTTGAATACAGCGCCCCCTGTACCTCCTAATGACCTTCCACCCAAGACACGTCATCGTTGACCCGTTAAACGACAATAAATACATTTACTGTATGGTTGGCAATTATACCCAAAATTTACAAACAAAAATAGGCGTAAATTTATATCTATATAAAAAAACGTCAATACAGGCGTTGGGTTTATGCCTGCATACTTTGGGTAGTTTTACCGACCACATTACTGCGTTGTTCCCAAAGTTGCAGAGCTCGCAAGATGACTGAGAGTAAGTTTGGAGTACAAGTAAACATGTCTCTCGTGTGTGTATTTTAGGTCTTTTCAGCTTGGTCCAGCTAGCTGATTAACCACCAAATGAAAACAATACTCTTTGCTCATCTTTCTCTCGCTTTTCCTTTCCTTTCTTTTTTTTTTTTTTTTTTTCACAGGCGTAGGAAGCCAGTTTTCCTCTTTTGACACCGCATTTGGACTGAACTTGAATCCGTTTAGGCCTACTTCTGTTGAATTCTGATCATAGTATCTTAAGACATCGTAAGATACTCAAACTATAGTAAAGTGCTCTGGGATAGTTTGGATTGATGATTTAGAACATATATGGACTGGTATAATTAGTTCCAGGAAAAATGCAGTTTAACCGGGTGAAATTCGTTTTCTAAGGGAATTTGCGTCTTTTTTAGATCTTACCATACGTAATGAATAATAAGTAATAAATATCAGGTTGTAATTAAGTCAGATCACTAAGTGGGTCAGTACTCGCAGTCAGACTATCACTCGAAAGCCTCATACCTGTATCTCAAGTTGATATCGGCATTTTAGCCGATTACGATGCCATCAAATGGATCTAGCGGTACCTAGATCTAAAGACACGCGGGTTTATAGGAATCTGTTGGTGGACATATCGGAACGTAAATTTAACGAGGCCTAAATCTATTGAGAAGTGTATGTATTAACCCTTTTCATCTTTTGCTGAAACAAAAAGTGCGCGTGACAGGAACCGCGCGCCACAGGTGTCATTGAAGTCCTCTGCTGTTTCCAGCATGGCAGTGCTAGGTGTAGGTGATAAACAAGGTGCGCATATAAAAAGGTCGTTTGAAGAGTGCACTGCTTTGTGTCAAACTAAAAAGGTGGCTGAAGCACAGAAATGCGTCAACTGTAGGCAAGAAAACAACTATTTGGACGGAGAATCGACAATTAAATGTTTTATTTCTCAGTTTAAATACGATGCGCTGTACAACTAGACTTCACCTAAGCGTCCGAACCTTGGCTGCACTTTCAATAGTGATGACGCACTATAGCTTCAGAGTTCTTTTAAATGCTTCCGATAATAAAAATATTCGAAAGAGACACGTTATATTTTTTTTTTATAAAATCAAAATGGCCAGTAGACTCGTACACAGCTTTCTAGAGTGTGGACAGGTGCGAAGGCCTACGGGTTGCTGTGGCGATATCACATCATTTACTATCATGTATCGGCAGTATCAATTCATTACGATTTTTATGTCTTGTTTGAAGGATGTCTTAAGAGTTTTTTGAAATAATAATATGAAAAGATTTCCTGCATTGCTCTACCTACTGTGTATACAGGTAAAACTGACACATAGATTGTTCGTCGGTGAACTGATTAAATCATTTGGTACCCGATAAGGCATCAGATATTACTTGTTCAATTGTTCGGCAAGGGGGACGCACACGACTACGACCTTTCCTCTGTAACTAAAAGCTTCTAATTTTAAGTGTTAAATAGGTAAGACAGGAATTTTCGACTCCTTCCCAGACAATAATTACACAGTTTACCGTGTCTTACACTAGTATATGTACAAAATTTACGACAGGTAAAACATGTCGGACTTTCGGTCTGACAAGTATGAAAATTTTGTCAAACTGAAACAAAACAGTCAGACCAAAACAAAATTATAGCAAGAGGCTAAATTATTTGATTTTTAAATGTTTTCATGCGTATTTTCATTGTTTTCAATCATAGACAATAAAATCATTCAAATAAAGTGTATTCCATACATTTCATACTTTTCAACGAATCTAAGACATCAAAAATCCGTAGGCCTACTTTAATACTAAGCATATTTGTATTACTTTACAAATACGTCGTTAGATTATTTTTTATTATCCATTTTGTCTTTACAATACATGTATTATGCACATGTAGTTTACAGAAAGGCTTTTCTGCATTTTTGTAAATAACAATATATGTCCATTGAATTTTCCAATTCTCTTGTCATTGAGTTCAGAAATAAATAACTTTTTTATTTTGCCGATGACGCGTTTAACAAGGAACGATGTACTTTCTTCGTATGTCTCTGTTGATAAAATGAGCCCCGTTTGTACAAATCAGTAATACGGGCCTGGATACATAATAATAATAATAATAATAATAATTTTATTAACGTCTCACGTGAAAAAAAAAATCCACCCTACTAAGGGTTATGAGAGACTAAAACCTGTGATACTACATTTAAAATTATCACTTATCAATAAAACACACACAAAAAAAGGATATTACACACAAAACTTTTCAAACCCTCTCTTTATTTTTTACACAAGAAGTCGTGAAAGTTCTTGAATTTTTTGTAAGTAGAATCCCCGTGTAAAACTTCACAGCTTTTTGTTTCTTTTTCCATAACCTCATGCATAAAGTCTTTTCTTTCTTTTTAGGTCTATATTATTCAAATTTTTCTTTAGATCTTTATAATGTTTTTTTCTCGAATTGTTTATCCCTGAGTTCTATTTGCCGATAGTTCGTTATATCCGTTGATTAACTAAGCATTTCTATTTTTTATTTAGGCACCGTTGATCTCCTAATATTATAGTTTTTCTTCCCCCCTTCGAAATGTTCGGCGCAAACGCGGTGTCCTGCTGTTGATCCAAACCTGCTATATTTTCCTTTCTTTCTACCATATTTTTCATTCTAACGGGTTTGTCGGGAACTGGGAACTTATTAACCTCATGTGTCGATCTCGCTTACTGTTACAGTAGCAGCGGGACAAAAGCACGTAAACCCAGCCATGGTTTTTAGCACCACTGTGAGTGTTTCAACATAGCAAGGACTCCCTTTTCCACTTTGCAATTTCCATTTCCGGAAAAGATGAATAAGGTTAATAGAGACGTATCTATCGGGACAATTATTTATTAAAACGTTTATCTATATGGCGGACCCCCATGTTTCTTATCAAACATGAAACTACACTGTATACTTCCTGGTTAAACTTTTGTGACAACACATACCTGGTATATTTTCGGGGATGTAGCTGGCCAGACATCGTTTACAGTAGGTGTGGAGACAGGGGAGAATCGTTGGATCTTCAAAATCTTTGAGGCAGATGGAGCAGTTGGTGAAATTTTCTCGAATTTTTGCCCTCAAACTTCCGTCTCCATCTCCGATTGAAGCTGTCGCCATTTCAAAATGAGCAGTGCGTCACATGTGTCATTGATTAGTGGATTCCCCTTTTTCTGTTCGATCTAGCTAGTTTCTAAACATTTTCGAGAAATCTAAAAAAATCGTCTGTTTATCCTTATACTGCAGAGCTCGCAAGGTGACTTAGAGTAAGTGTAAAGTACAAGGAAACATGTCTCTCGTGTGTGTATTTTAGGTCTTTTCAGCTTGGTCCAGCTAGCTGATTAACCACCAAATGAAAATAATACTCTTTGTTAATCTCTCTCGCTTTTCCTTTCTTTCTTTTTTTTCACAGGCGTGGGAAGTCAGTTTTCCTCTTTTGACACCGCATTCGGACTGAACTTGAATCCGTTTAGGCCTACTCCTGTTGAATTCTGATAATAGTATCTTAAGACATCGTAAGAAACTCAAACTAATAGTGAAAGTACTCTTGGGTAGTTTGAATTGATGATTTAGAACAAAAATGGACTGGTATAACTAGTTCCAGGAAAAATGCAGTTTACCCGGGTGAAATTCGTTTTCTAAGAGAATTTGCGCCTTTTTCAGAGCTTACCATACCTGTCTGTTTATCCTTATAATATACTTGAGTTCCACAATAACAATCCGATCAAACATGCATTAAATCGGTTAAGACTTTTTTCGAATTTCATGAAGCACATACAGTCGCTGTGACGGAAGTAAAATGAAAGATTATGATGGAATCGCTTTAAAACGAGAGCTGCCTACCCTAAACGCCACTAAATGAAACAATCCAGGGGTGGATCCAGAATAACTTGAAGGGGGTCCACGGATGCGAAGTCGACCCCCCCCCCCTCCTTGGCGTGGGGTTTGGGACCCGCTGAGGGCGAACTGTGCCATTTGGTTTGGTTAAGAACTGATTCAGCTAGTCAAAATTCTAATTTCAAGAGCGGACCATTGGTGTGTTTTTTTTTTTTTCAGAAAGCGAAAGAGGTGGGGGTGGGGGGTCAGGACCCCTTGACCCCTAAATCCGCCTCTGCAATCCATTGCAATTTTGTATATTAGAGCCAGGTTTCATAGGGAAAACATCAAAAGAATAATTCGGTAGGTATAGGTACTCGAGTATTAAGTAAGAATATTGTAGTATTATGAGAAGCGTTTATTTGTTTTTAGGTTCCTCTGTAGATCAAGACATTTGTCAACGGAATTTTAAAAGCGATCGGTATAATGTTTCCCGTTCTAGGTTTTTTAAAAAAACTTTTAATGCTGAATTCCGGGGTTCTCTTTTTAGCCTTGATTTTATCAGAAACGCGCACATTTGGTGAGCAATTTTAAAATAAACATTTATCAACAGTTAAATGAACTTCTTCACAAAGGCATTCTTTACTAATAACAAGATCATCGATGTATTTGATTAAAAACTATTGTGTTGGTCATAGTGGCAAAACTATATATTGGCTGCCCTAAATTCTGTAGCTAAAACTGCAGGGTGACATCTCCCCCCCCCCTCCA